AAAAAAAAAAAAAAGAAAGAAAGAAGTCACCTTTCCAGACCACAAACCCAACCACATCACTCTATAGTCAAGACTATTCTAGGAGGCCCTTCCTGGGTTCCACCAGTATTTACTATCCTGTACTAGAAATGTTCACCTGTCTCCCTCCTTCCCCAACCAGCCTGTGAGCTCCCTGAGAGCAGATCCCGCCCAGTCCATTTCTGGTGCTCAGCTTAGGGCTAAGCAGGTCACATTCAGTTCTGTGATTCTGTTGCCTTTACTATCCTTGACCCCTTTGAAGGTTCTCAGGATTCAGAGGTCTGGGTTGCACTGTGTTGCTGGGAAATAAATCTGAGAGCAGGTTCTATAATCCTCTGACAGTAGGATCCCCTATGACAGCATCACTCCCAGAATAGAAGAAAGCAAGGCTTTCTTGCCAGAAAAAGAAACACTCTTTTTACACCATCTCTTGAAGAAAATAGAGTATAGGATAAACAGTTCAGGAGAGATGCAGCCTCAGAGGCGACTTGAAACCCAATTCTCCTTCCAAGGAGATTCAGGCTCCCTACTCCTCTCCTTAACATCTACGTATCAGACTCTCTGCCCAGCGCTGAGATCCTTTATGGTTTCCTCATTGCTCAATCCAAATTAAGCCCAAAAGCCTGGAGAACCCAGTCCTAGCTCCCAGAGCAGGGACTATCAGAATATTGTTACTACAAAGGTTTTTACGATCATCTGGTTCCACAATCCCCATCTCCCTTTACTCCCTCCATTAAGAGGAAGAAAAACAGGCCAGGAGAGAGACAAAGTCCTGCTCAAGACCACAAAATGTTTCAGAAGCAGAGCCAAGACTTGAACCCGGGCCTTCTCCTTCCTTGCCTAAAGCTGTTTCTCAAACTGCCTCTGTAGAGGTGGGTTGTCATAGCAACAGCTCTTTGGGTGGGAGAACTAAGAGTTGCCACTGTTTCCCATTCCCACATATCCCAGTCTGGCTTGTTCACTCAACCTTTGAATGGGGGGTAGAGGAAGAAGGCAGGAGGGAAGACGCCTAGAGGCAGGACTGACCTTGGCCTCAAGGGTAGGCCTTCTGCCTCCCTGCAAGGCGAGCTGGAAGAAGAACAATTGAAGGACAACCTTAGAGGATTTGAACCAGGCCTGCCTTCAGTGGCTCCAAGGAAAACCCTCTGCCCTACCCCTTGTCCTTCCTGGGTGCATCCCAGTAGGCAGGGCAGAGCACAGAAGGAGATTAATATTAATAACATCCTGGCCTGAGGAGGGAGAAGAAATAGGGTGGGGATCTCTCCTTGTTCTGGCCCCAGAAGACTCCCTCCCTTATATCCTTCCTCCGGCAGCCTCAGGCCCCAAGCAAGCCAGGTCAAGAATACAGAGACAAAATCAGAAGTTAAATGCAGCCCCTTAACGTTTACAGATAGTTTTCACCAAGGCAGAAAAGAGTTAGAGCCAGAGAGACTAGGCGTGGCTCTTCCACTGACTCCCTATGTGAGTTCAGACAAATCCCCAAAATCTGCAAGCATGTTTCATCTGCAAGATGGGAGAAATGATGGCCAGTTTTCTCATTTCCATGACATAAAATGTGTTTAGAATATCTGGCACAAAGTAGGTCTCAAAGGTAAAGATGTAAAGTGCAGTCTGAAGATCTAGGTTCAAATCCTGACCCTGCCTTTTACATGATCGTGGGCAGTCACTTAAATTCCCTGCGCCTTTACTTTTTCTTTTCTCTTCTTTTTTCTTTTCTTTCTTTTTTTTTTTTGAGAC